AAAGAGGGGAGGAAATTTGTTGGTTTAATGTTTATCTTTTTGATTCTCTCTACCCAAATCAGTAAGCAAGTATTTATTTTAATTGGCAATAAATTATGTTAACTTTGTCGACAAAGGCTATTTTCCCCACGATAGTAACTGGAAAGCAATCTCCCTGTCTTTATCTCAACCCCTGAGCTTTTTTGTTCCCATTCTTCTTATTTTCTACCCCCAAGAGCTGGGTGGGAGTTTAGCAGCTAGCCAAGGCTAATCTACAACAGAAAAACCAGTGTATTTGTAGAGTGAAACGGTTGGTGCTGAGGTCTCAGTGTCTGCCTTATACGTGCTTCAGGGGGTTACTTTGAACTAGGACTGTGTGGCCTTGTGGCCTGTTCCAGACTGGAGTGCATCAGGTACATTTCCCGAGGACATCATTCAGTTTAGCTGTATCTGGAAAAATTCCAGTTGGAGTGGTCAGCGGCTTCTCCATGGTGCGCACCAAAGGACAGTAGGTCAGAATGATACAAACAAATGAAAAAAGCATATTGATTTCCTTTTAAAACTTACTACTACCACATCTATTTGAATTATATATATAATCCTATTCTCACTGTACAAAATATATAGAAGCATTTTAAGCAAGAAGCTTACTACTGATGTAGATACACCTTTTTGAAATGGTCATACGCAAGCTGTGGTTGGAGAACTAATGCTTTAAAGAACTGAACGTGGAAAATCAAAATGCTGTATGTTTAAAAATGATACATGTCTTCCATCTGGCTAAGAAACTTGATGCCATCCTTCCTCAAAAAAGATGTGGCTGCTACAGTCTGTGGATGTTACTTTTAAGATGTTAAAATGGTGCTATAATCCAGGCTGCTAGAGAGCATCTAATTCTTCCATGCTGTAGGACATCATGAGCATACTCTCAAAATACGTTCAGTATGGTATTGGATTTTTAAAGGAAGTGCTAGCTAGAATTGTCAGAGATGCATAGGATGTTAGGTAGTTAACTCCCATGGAAATTTTAAGTGATGCTGATGTTTTATATTTTCTATCAAAGACTGACATATCTTTCTTTATGATTATTTAGAGCACTTATCTTTTTAGTACTTCCAGCAATTCCTTTTCAGTGTCGCGATCCACATGCAAGGCTGCCTTTTCTCTGTGGGGTGATTATCTTTGGGAATTGCCTTTTCCATCTTAGAACTTTTCTATTTGTTACAAAAGTAACAAACTTTGCCATTTTAGTGAACTTTGCCATTTTAGCAACTTCAGTGACTCTAAATAATTAACCATGTATAAAATAGAAACTTGAATGTGTCTCCAGTTGCTAAAAAAAAACCCCTCAAAGTTTTGTAAACAGACTGAAATTCTGTAGTGTTTACTGGTAACAGTAGTGTAAAATGACGGCTTTTAAATGCTTTTCCAATTATGATGTAAAGTATCTGACTATGTGCTAAGCAAGTTAAATGAAACACCGCATCTTTCTCCCTATTTCTGGTTTCTGCCTTTCATGTAGTTGGCAGAGAAACTTTTAAAGCTTGTGCTTTTAAACTTTGCTGTTCTGTTTATTATCTCTGTTGTCATTTATCTTTAATTTTGAAAGAACTGCTGATAGAGAAGGCTTAAAGAATGGACTGGAAAGTCATTTCTTGAGCCATATCAAGAAGAGAAAAATGAATAGATGAAGTGTTCAAAAAAGATTGAAATAAAAAATAAAATAGTCCCACAATTAAAAGATGACAGTTTGTTTTAGATTCTAAGACCTTAACTTAGGGTATGTTCTTTTAGCTATATTTTGTTTACTAGTGTAGGAGACTGTTCTAAACGTGAGATACATAACCATTAGTAAATGGTACATGTCACCTCTTGCTGCATAAAGCCAACTTACTCCATTCGCAGATTCTAGAGTTGTCCTGAAGCTGGTTTAGGTGTCTGGAATTTGAAAGGCTTATTTTGATAGGGGATGTGTGGGACCTTTATTACTACACAACACAGCTAAAATACTAAGGAGAGGTTTAGAAAAATTAACAGGAGGTAGCAAATAGTTCATACGATGTTATATTCAGAATGGTAAGTTACAGAAAAAATGGTGGCTCACAAGATAATAATGGGATTTTTCTTAGCAAATCTTCAGTCACCTGATTGCAGCCAAACATCTGCTTGGATTTATGTTGTATTCAGAACTGGTGCAGTATCTGTAGGCACTTGGGATTTTAATTACCTCTTGAGGAACATGTGGAGATGAAATTTAATTCAGTCTGGTGAAAGCATTTGATAAAGGATTGAGTAGATGATGATGTCATTTTTTTTTTAAGTGAAAACAATGAAGTGTAGTGACAGGACAAGGGGTAATGGGTTTACCCATAAACTTTTCTACGATTCTATGAAATATATGTGCCATCTCTGCCTTTTCTCCTCCCTCCCATTTCCGTTTTACTGGTCTTAACCATGACATATTTTGACACTTGGGTCACAGTCCAAATGGACTTCAGAATCCGTCATCTCTTTTCTGCCCTGTGGCTTTGTTGAATCAATGTGGTATGTACCTGTCTGTCTCTTTATACCTAGGTTTCTTCTTCCTTAATAGTCTACTGTTAAACAAGTCCCTGCTGTTTTTAAAATAGCACTTTGTTCCGCTCTTAGCCCAAAGACCCCTTAGTCATATGAAAACTTGTACTGTGACTTCTATTCATTTGTTTTCCTGTTTGGAGATTATATTTTCCATTTTCTGTTTCTCCTTCTTCTGCTGCTGATGCTCTCAGTCCATGAGCAGTTGTTTCATTCATGCAATATTACACAAAGGAATGAGGTAAATGGCAGCATATATTTTCTTCCTCACACTTCTGCTTCCCTTCGAAAGATAAATAAAGCCCACAGGAAATTAATAAAGTAAGCAACCAAAATAAACTATTCTGAACACAATTTTTACCCGTAAATAAAGCAGTACTTTTCTGTAGTTTCCTATTGGATTTTTCACTTTGCTTTCCATCTAAAATAGGCATCAGATACCATGGTAAAGTGTGGTAGCATTAAAGTCATTATGCAGTAAAAGACAAAATAAAAGCACCATATTTTCTGGAGATCATAGTCATTCACAGAAACACATAGTTTTCTATTCTCTTATGCTATCCGTCCTGCGTTCTTATTTATGAAAGACTGGATGTGTACATCAGTGAAAGACAAGGAGAATCTCACTGCCTAGAAAAGAGGTGATAATCATTTAGTGTCGAATCAATGCCTCAGCGTGATGGAAGGGAATGTTACAATGTGGTGTTAGTCGTTCCTCTGCATGAAGGTGGTGTAAAAACTGATATATGGGTATTTTCAATAGTGAAAGACATACTGCTGTTTTCTTCATAGAAATTCATCTCTGTATAAAGGACAAATTTTACATTAATTTCTTTATCGAAATTTCTTCTGTATCAATGAAAGACAGTTAATTTGCTGCTTTTTGCTGCACTTCCTAAGATGGCATTACATAATGGTTTCTAAGGAGTTGCTCTGCTCATTTTGCTTTTAGGTAATATTTGCAAGGATGTGAGGGAGGAAGCATGTAATGCAAGTGTAATATGAAGTTCTAGTAAGAAAATTTGCACTTTGTGAATCAGAAATTTTTTCTTGGGATTAAAATTCAGTCATTTCCAAATTCTGAGCATTTATTCTGAATTTATAGATGACTAAAAGATTGAAAGTCTAGCATAAATCTGACTAACCTGTTA